TCAGGCCCAGGAGGCAGGGATTTACATTCTCCACCGGCAAAGGGTGGGAGGGGAGCCAAGGCTCCCGAACGCAGTGTGAAGAACCCCTGTAACCGCCTGTGCCTGTCTTTCTGCCTCCCAGCTGCTCAGGGCGGGGTTCCTGCCTCTGAAGGATGAGCGCTTTGAGTAAATGTCCTTCCTGTTAGACCCCCCGCTTCAGCCCCACCACAAGTACCCGGCCCCGGGCCGCAGCGCAGGAGCTCGTGAGGCGTGTGGCATGAATACATGCACGTGCTCTCGGAACAGTCTCGAGTTTCTATTTCTTTTACCAGCATCCCCGTCCTCCCAGTCACTCAAGTACCACCGTTTAAACAGGCTGGGGAGATAGAGTCCTCGGTCAAGGATGCATCAAGCGTGCAGGGACAGGGCCAGGATGCAGGGGGGGCCGTGTGACAGTAAGGAACAAGGAGGACCCCGCTCAGGGCCAGCAAGCAGTCGAAGCNAGTTGTGAGGATAAAGTGATTGATGGGTGTGAAAATTCAAAAACTGCAAAGTATTATGCCCGTGGGAGGGATGGGAGGAATTGATGTTCACCTACTGTCAGGAGCAAGGTCTAGAATTTGTGGGTATTCTCTGCAGGGGCTTCAGACTTACACAAGGAGGCACTCATTATGGATACCAGCCCTAGCAGTCCTGCAGTGCTGAATTACCCCANAGTGTCAGGCCTCCCTAACCCCCCCTGGAGGGGGATGGTACGTGCGGAGGCCTTAAGGTCATGGAGCACCCCCTCGTCAGATCTACTCACCTCACCCCCAGCCTTCCCTAGCCGGACTGCAACCAGGTATGCAGTCAGTCACAAACACCTTGGCAGGAGGCCGCCCATCCCCTTATATCGTTCTGTGCTTGGGGACTGAGGCCTTCATTCCAGATTGTGCGTTAGAAGTAATGACATCACCCCTTCCAGCCAAGGAGGGCACTCCCACCGTTTGCACCCTTGGCTGTAGCCGGGATAAAGGCAGATGGGCAGGAGGAGCTTGGTGACATTAGCACTCGTAGGTCATGTGTCTGGCCTGGTGCAGGGGGCCTGAATTATCCCGCCTGTGTGATCTGCAGCTGACAGCTCCCTACCCTCTGGTGTACCTCAGGCCCAGTCTGCCTTCCGTGTTAGTACCTTTCCCTTTGCCTCTTTCAGGCATAGCCCAGCTTCCATGCAGTGGGTGTGGAGAGGGTGTGTTGTGCCTGAGAGCTGCCCTGCCCAGGGCAGGCAAGATCTGAGGTGTTGTGCTCACATTGTGTTTTCCAGGACCCGTCCCTGCTCCTCACCATCAGCGTCATTGGTGTCACACTGCTCCTGATGGCCCTGAAGAGCATGAACTCCAGAAGGAGACGCCTTATCACCTTACAAGATCCTGAAGCCACGTACCCACTGCCCTTGATTGAGAAAGAGGTAACAGGTCAGACCTTCCCCTCCCCTGTTGGTGGGTGAAAGAGAAGAACAAGAGCGATGGGGAATATGCTGACAGGGAAGGCAGAGCAGTCAGTCCCCGCCCTTGTTTGTTTGGCTGGGATAGAGCCAAGCGGAGCTTTTTCCCCAGGCATCTGAGCTGCCCAGTAAGGCTTCTAGTAAGCTGATAGACTGCCTTTGTTTTGTTTTATTAGCACATCACCCACAACACCCGGAGGTTCCGCTTTGGACTGCCCTCGCCGGATCACATCTTAGGGCTTCCTGTAGGTGAGCAGGGTTTGGGGTCCTCACCAGGACTGGGGCCTTTGTGAGCGAGGCACTCTGCTCCTATCAGAAACACAGGTTTCCGGGCCGGCCCGGTGGCGCACTGCTACAGTGCGCCGTTTGAGAGCGCGGAGGCGCTCCCGCCGAGGGTTCAGATCCCACATGCAGACCGGCCGCTCACTGGCTGAGCGAGGTGCGGGAGCAAGGCCGAGGGTTGCGATCCCGTTGCCGGTCCCGGTCCAGTGCGGGTGCGACATTGAGGGTTGCGATCCGTTGCCGGTCATGAAAAAAGACAAAAAAGGAAAAAAAAGAAAAAAAAAAAAAAGAAAAGAAACACAGGTTTCCAACCTCCCGAAGCGCAGAGGTGCCCTGATAACTCTTCCCAAGCCATATGAGCTTGGGGAGATAGAGAGATGGACTTGGGGACAGTGCATTCCCTTTCTTCATTGTTCCACTTGGGCTGATACAAAAGTGGTACATCAATGAGCACTGAGAAGAAGTGAGCCTAGTGTCAGAAAGGCTAGGATCTCATCACAAGCTCCTCGCTGGGCAACCTTAGGCAGGTCCCTCAACTTCTGTAAGCTTCAGTCCATGAAATGGGATTTCCCAGGCCTGTCTGACTACCTCATTTGAGTTGTGAGGATAAAGTGATTGATGGGTGTGAAAATTCAAAAACTGCAAAGTATTATGCCCACGGGAGGGATGGGAGGAACTGATGTTCACCTACTGTCAGGAGCAAGGTCTAGAATGTGTGGGTATTCTCTGCAGGGGCTTCAGACTTCCACAAGGAGGCACTCATTATGGATACCAGCCCTAGCAGTCCTGCAGTGCTGAATTACCCCATTTCCAGCCTGTAACATCACTAGACAGCTGAGTCACTCTTAGTGAGGTGGAAAACTTCTGCTAGCCCAGGGCCCAGGGATCCAGAGGTTTGTACACACCGCTAGTGCTGCTTACCTGCCTGCCTGGTGGAGAGCCTAATCCATGGCCTACTTGTCTTATCTGCATAGGACAAACCCTTGACCTCACCTCTCGCAGGTGATGAAATTACACCTTGGACAGCTAGCTGGGCTCCTGAGCTTCCTTGCTGCTCCCTTCCTCTCCATGCAGGACAGCTCAGTGTCATGCTGCCTTCCAGCCCCCTGCCTGGCCTCTCAGGCCAGTCCTTGCAGGAAGCCTAAAAGAAAGAAAAACTTTGAGAAATAGAATTTTTTAGAAATTGCCTTGACTCACTCTCTCCTCAGCCCTGGTGTAGGCAGTGCAGAGTTAGTGGGACTAGGTAATTTTGAGGCTTTCAGGAAAGTCTGATATGAAGACTCAGAGATTGCTGACACTTCCCGGCCCGGCTGAAGTGAAGCCAATTAGAGATGGGGCCGAGGGACCAGCAGGGCAGCTGCTTTTTCTGGGACACGGCCAGGCCAAGCACAGATTGGCTGCATCTGAAATATCCTTTCCAGGTTTCCAGTTTCAGGATAGTTCTCCGAAGGAAGTTGCCTTAGGCATTTACTCCTGAGTATCCATGGTGCCCAGCCAAGCCATGGCCAGAGTCATTAAGCCTGTTCTGTCTTAGCCCAGAGAGTTTGCATCTCAGGCTTCAAGGCCTCCTCAAAGACTTTGGCTTATGCTCCTGAAACAACTTCAAGGACCAGTCCCTCTAGCCCCTACTCTACCTCATTTTCCTCTTTTCCTTCCTCCTCCTCTTCTCTCTCTGTCTCCCTAGATCTGTTTCTAGCTGCATCTGTGTTGCATCTTCCTTCATTTGTCAACTAATTCCTTGTGCACACTTGGTTTCTACTCCCTTGGACACTGGCACAGAGCTCTCTTGCCCCTGGATCTTGTAGGTCCTGCCTTCACCTCTAATTGCCTTCTCACTGAGCTTCCCATTTTAAATCCAACAGAAGTCTGAGTGGCTCAGCCCATCATCTGACACTGGGGTGTAATCATGGTCCATAGGTCTTTGGCCACACCTGGTCTACTGAATTCTACTCTTCAGGGGCAGAATTACATGGTTCAGAACCTCACTGTTGCCCCTCAGCAGAACTGTGGGCCAGGAAGACAATGCTATTGCTTCATTCGGTCCATGGGTGTCCAAATCCTGGGGCCCTGCAGTATCTGTGAGCCCAGGCCTGCTCTGTGCCTGGCACCAGGATACAGATGGGATCACTGTGATTTATTCATAGGCCCCAGTGACACATCCAGTTTAGGAAGAAATGAGTTTGTGAAGTCAATGTATTTTTCTGTAATTTTTTAATACTAACCCTCCAACTTTAGCTCTTCCTGCTGCACAAAGCACTTAGGCTGTGATTGCAGCTGGACAGGTATATCATACCCATTTTACAGATAAAGAGACCAAAACCGAGAGAGGTGAAGTGACTTGCTGAGGTTAGTACAGAGAGTGTTGACTGCAGGCCTAAGATCCAGGCATGCTGGATTTGGGCTGCTTTCCTGCCTGTCCCCTCCTCATCTTACATCCTACTGCAATATTTGCCCCCCTCACTGAAGCTCAGTCCTTAACCGGATTCCTGCATCCTGTTCAGGCTGGCCATGCTCAGACTTAACATTTGATGCCTTTTTTGTAGGTAACTATGTCCAACTCCTGGCCAGAATTGGTGGTGAGATGGTGGTCAGGGCTTACACGCCCGTCTCCAGTGATGATGACCAAGGCTTTGTGGACTTAATTATAAAGGTAAGTGATGCCAGCCATGTCCAGCTGCCTCATGTTCCCAAGCCGATTGAGGGTGGCTGGGTGGAGGTGCAGTGCTTTTACTCTGAGGGGACACCACTCTGGACAGGGCTTTTCAGCAGTGTCACTTAGCAGTGAAGCTACAGTTAGCTTGTGGTGTCTATAGGAATTGCTTATAGCAGCTGTGAGAGCAGACCATTTTCTCTGCAGGGCTTCCAGTGGCAAATGCATCTTCTAGTTGTGTGTGGCAGTGGCCTTAGGTCTGGAAGTATGAAAACTATGCTGCCTTGTTTTTCAGATCTACTTCAAAAATGTAAACCCCCATTATCCAGAAGGGGGGAAGATGACTCAGTACTTGGAGAACATGAAAATTGGGGACACCATTCTTTTTCGAGGGCCAATTGGGCGCCTGTTCTACCATGGGCCAGGTACTGGGGCATTCACGCTGGGCCTCCAGCTGGGAGGAAAAAGATTCCTACAGTGGTTCCATTGTTCTGGAACACTTCTCAGATTTGTCACATGGGCTTGTCCTTAAACTGTTCATTCATTCATTCACACACAAATTCATTTATAACCACACCTATCACCTTTCATACACCCACTTCACATGACTATAAGCTTCATTAAAGTAGGGAAGTGATCTGGTGTTTCTCCATCACTGTATCTCCAGCACAATGTCCTATACATGAAAGGTGCCTGATAGTATTGAAAAATGGATGGATGGATGGTGTCCGCACTTGTTTGTTTACTCACATGTTCATCATTTACCCACCGATTCAGTGCCGTGGTGAGAATGTGCTTTGTGGCTCCATATGAACTTTAGCTTGCCTCTCTCTTTCCTCAGAAGAAAAGGCCCGGCCACTTCCTGAGGCCCAGGCTGTATACCAACTTTGTGCACTGGTGCACCAGGGCTGGCTGAGGAGGCCACCCTGGCCTGTTTCTCTGGTTTAAAATGGTGCAGCCAATCCCTTAGGTGGACTTACCTCCTGGGAGTCCCAAGGGAAGCCATTTTTCAGTCTCTCAGGCAAAGCTGCATTAGTAAGAAGCAGTCTTTGTGTTTCCAGGGAATCTTGGAGTCAGACCAGACAAAACGAGCGAGCCTAAAAAAAAACTGGTCGATCACCTGGGAATGATTGCTGGGGGCACAGGTAAGAGGCTTTTGGGGGCCTTGTCCAGAAAATGAACACTGAGACCATTCTGACTTTGGAGTCATTTGATCCTAGAAGGGATGACATGAGAGAGTCCTCCTCTAGCTGTGGTAGGTGGGAACGAGGAGTCAGTGACAGGTCCTGAAACTGATCCCCTGTGCCCTGCTCCCCATAACCAACATGGTGGCTGCCCAGGAGCCATGGGGAGCCTCTCAAGTCAGACTGGAGGCCCAGCCTACTCAGGCCGCCCATGGTCTTCCAAGAGCTCCTGGATCTGTTTCAAGCCTGACTCTACTCATCCCTTGAAAATGAAGAACTGAAGGAAGAGAACAAACCCTTAAGGAGACATACAATGTTCCAGGCACCATAATAGGTACTTTTAACATGATCACATTTACTCGTCATTAATTCTGTTTTATAAATGAGGATATTTAAGAGCTGAGAATGCTCTTTCCATCTTGCCATATGAAAACAAAAAAGGGCTTTGGACTTAGTATTGTGATAGAAAGGAAAACCCAAATGAAGGGCTGTTCCCCACTTTGAGTTTTGGGGACAGAAGCACAAAAAGCATAACTGGGGCCAAGGAAAACTATTAAGCTGCTGTGGGCCAGGGTCTGTGGGCATCAGAGACAGGGAGAAAGCTGGCCTGGCTGCTACCTGTGTTCCAGGCATTACACCCATGCTGCAGCTCATTCGCCACATCACCAAGGACCCCAGTGACAGGACCAAGATGTCCCTCATCTTTGCCAACCAGGTCAGTTCTGCTGAGTCAGCCCTGAGCTTGCAGTGGTAGGATGGAATGTTTGCTGAGCTGGGGCTCTGCTTTCATTCCTCCCTATTGACTGAGCTTGCACTGCAGGCGTGCCTGCAGCTGTGGGAGTCTAAGCGGGTTCAGTGAGGGCCAGGCAGCTGGAGCAGCGGAATTCAGGCCCAGTTTTTGTTTGTTTTTGTTTAATTCTTCAGTCTCCCCAGCCAACCCTGAGCACTGAGCTTTTCTTCCCTTCTTAATACGTATTTCTATGTTTTTGTGAGTATAAAATCATAGATGCCTGCAGTAGAAATTTTAGAAAATACAGAAAAATATAAATATTTTTACTTTATCTTTTTTCTATGTATCCTATATATTTACAATTATAAATATGTGTGTATAGGAGGGTACTTCAAAAAGTTCATGAAAAAATGGAAAATACAAATCTTTCCATGAACTTTTTGAAGTACCCTTGTGTGTGTATGTATAAATATATATAGTTTTGCTTTTTTCATTCAGCATCACCATGCAGGCATTTTCTTACCATTAAATGTTTTCCAAATATTTTCATCATCGTCCATATGCAATTGCTCCATAATTTGCTAAATATTCTCCTACATTCAGGTTGCTTTAGTTTTCACACGTATGATATGGTGATGAATAATTTTGCCTAGGATTGATTACTTTTAGGTATTTTCTTCAACAGAATCCCAGAAGTGGCATTACTGGGACAAGTGTCATGAAGAATTTTGAGATCCGGGTCTTCTGTGCACTGTCTCTGAGCCTGTGACAAGTTATTTTTGGCTTTGTCTCCCTTTTCCCCACAAGGCTCTAGACTGTTTTCCTCTCCTGTAGGTCTCCAGTGCTGTTCTACCATATGACTTCCTTTGCCCCATACATTCCTTACAATTGAGTTTGCTGTTCCTGGAGCTCAGTGTGGATGCTGGCAATGGGGCTGGGACCTCTGAGTGAAGCCACCCCAGCCAGTGCTGGGCCACGGTCCTTCCAGTTGGAGGCAGGCACTGCAGCTCTGCAGGGACCCACACCCTCCCAACAACTCCGTGCACAAAGGAGAGGGTTTGATCTGTAGAAGCAGCAGTAGAACTCCTGTTTTCCCTGGGAGTCAGTGGCAAGCAATCAAGCTAGAGTGGTAGCAGCTTGGGCAAGAGTGTGCTGACCAATATACTAAGTCTGGGGAACAAGCAGGATGTCCCTGCAGGGGCTTTGCTAATATTGCTTCTTTTCTAGACAGAGGAGGATATCTTGTTGAGAAAGGAGCTTGAAGAGACTGCTAGGACTCACCCAGACCAGTTCATCCTGTGGTACACCCTGGACAGACCTCCTGTTGGTAAGACCCCTGTTGCCCTCACCCACCGTGGTCAGCTCCAGCTCTTGACCCACCTCAAACAGTGGTCTCTGTTTTTTAGTATTGTTTTGTTTTTTTGGACTGGGCCTGGGGGTGAGGTCTTGGGCTGTGGCTCTACATGGGAAATGCAGAGATTTGAGGGAGAGAGGATATGGGATGACCTGCTTGTAAGGGCAATCAGGGCAGGTGTCCCACATCTCAGCAGCACTCCACACACTGCACTGAACATCAAGAGGGACACTGAGCCACTGTGCTACTCTGAACACCCATCCATACAGCCATCACACACATGCATCTAATGTGGCCACTGCTCACAGCCCCCTCCCCCCTCAACACCCACCTCACCTGGACAGCAGTTCTCACAGGCTGAGCCCCAGCCAGCACCGCACAGCCATCATGCCTGATGCGCATCTCCCACACTGCGCTGAGCTGTACCTGTGTCATACAGCTCCCTGCTCAGCAGAGGGCGCCACCTGATCGAGCTGTTCTGAGTGGTTCCACAAACACCACACCCACCACACCACTCACAGCGGGACAACTCCAGCTCAGTGTGGCAGTTCACACCACACCCTGGTACACCTCCCTGTGGAGTTCATCTTCGTCAGTGCTTACAGCAGGCAGGCACTAGTGGGGGCCTCAGAGCCCCAAGCAGTGGGCCTGGAATCTGGGGTAAATTCTGCAGAGGGCTGAGACTCCCATATCCTCTATTTCTCAGGCTTTCTGTAGGGAATACTCATGCAGAGACTTCTAAGCCTTTGTGTAGAAGCTGTACCTCCCTCTCCCTGGCTTGAGGGAGGGTGGGCAGGAGGCCTGGGGTCAGGGGTCAGGGACTTATCCACAGTGTTTGTCTGTCTGCTTCATTTCAGGCTGGAAGTACAGCTCAGGCTATGTTACTGCGGACATGATCAAGGAACATCTCCCTCCTCCTGGGAAGTCCACGCTCATCCTGGTGTGTGGCCCCCCACCCCTGATCCAGTCAGCTGCTTGCCCGAATCTGGAGAAGCTGGGTTATACCAACGACATGATTTTCATCTACTAACACCTCCCATGTTCTTAGCAAATTCGCCTGGCCACTTTCATCTGAGTTTGGCTTCACCATGTTAAACTGTTTTCAGAAGTGCCTTGTCACACACCTCTGGGGAACATACACTGGTGTTCCCCTCCTTTGGGTGTGAGCCTAAGAAGGGTTCAAAGGGCTGGAGGCAAAGTGGCTTCTGAGGCCTCCTTGCTTGGAGGCTGGAAGGAGCTCCATTTCAGTCTCTTTCTCCTTGGTTTGGTGAAATAAACTTAAGTACAAAGCAGGGCGCCCATGAAGTGTGGCTCTGTGGGGACCCACTGGGCAGTCAGGAGGCCTGCACTGGACCTGCATGGGACGTGGCTCCTGTGTGCCCATGGTGGGTCAGAACTGATAAAAGTGCAAGAGCAGAATTTAAGAAGGATCCTAATGGGGTCACGTCAACTACCAATAACCTTGCTTGAACTCTCCTCTCCGGTGTTCTGCTTTTAAGGTCAAACCTACTAGAGGGCTTAGGACCCTTCAAATGTACTCTTCTCTTGTGAGAGACCCTAGAAATGGTGTTAAAAACACACACGTCAGGAAAGTAAATTCACAGGGTAGGTGGGCTCAGGGATTTCTTTCTAGACTCCCTGCACTTCGTACAACAGAGGGAGGCAAGGAGTGCATTTTTTTAGCATCCTCTCAATGCTAGGCTGTCTCCTGGCATTAGGGGCCAGGGTAGGGGTGGTCACATACAGAAGCTTCTCAACTTGTAAAGTTATGTTCCAGAAGCTACACCTTAAATCCTTTGTATCACTAAACCCAAACGGTGCAAGTGACCACCATCGCCATCTGCTGTTCGTGGCCGCCATGAACATGCTGCTCTGTGTTACGTCAGTGGGTAGAGCCGCTTCTACACTAGTTCATATAATCTTATAATGAGCCAGAGACTCTGAGGATTTTGTTCTCCGTGTTATAGTTAGGAGATTGAGGCCCATAGACTAAGTTTCTCATCTCTTCAGCCAGCAGTTGGCATAGCTGGCTTTAAACCTGGGTCTGTTTAATTCCAAGTCACCCCCCTTTTCACAAAAACTGGCATAACAGCAACAGCTGTAACTTGGAGTGACTGATGTGGATGTGTGTGAGAGATAGAGGGATGGGAAGACAGGAGGAGAGGAGAGGCCATGGCTCTAGGAAGCTCTCAGAAGTACTGCTGTGTCTTGCCCCAGGGTGGCCAAACACAGGGATAGTCTCAGAGGGACTATGAGGTGGAGGGAGGGGTGGCTAGCTTTCATCCATCCACCTGTTCAGCCCATCCTCAGTGAATCCCCTACTCATGGAAAGATACTCCGCTGGCCTTCACAATAAGACCCTGCCCTCGGATTTTCTCATACATGCAAATCTGACCATGCTTGTCACCTCCTTTAAACCCTTCACTGCTTTCACTGTAGTCCCCACCCTGGCCACCTCCAGGACATATTCCAGGGGCCTGACTTACAAGACCTTTCTTGATTTGGCCCCTGCTAACTTCATCAGACAATTCCTTCTCTAGCCCTCCTACTCTGACCCCATTCTCTAGCCCAGTGGTTCTCAACTGGGGGTGATTTTGCCCCCCCCCCCCCCCGGCGACATTTGGCAATGTCTGGAGATATTTTTGATTCTCATGACTGGGGGTGGTGTTACTACCAGCATCTAGTGGGTAGGGCCAGGAATGTTGTAAACATCCTACAATGCACAGGACAATTCCTCAAAACAAAGAATTATCTGGCCTCAAATCTCAGTAGTGCTGAGATTGAGAAACCCCTGCTTTTGTCCTACAAAGTCAGAGATGAGCGGCTGTGACAGTCTATGTGGCCCTCAAAGCCTACAATATGAACTGACTGACCCCTTACAGAAAAAGTTGGAAGCCTGCCTTAGATGACTAGAGGGGGAGTGCTACTGGCACCTAGAGGGTAAAGACCAAAGATGCTGCTTAATAAACATCCTACAGCCCACAGGACAGCCTCCATCGCAAAGAATTATAACAGTGCAGAGGCTGAGAAACCCTTCTCTAGTCTTACTGACTTTTGGAAATTCTTAGGATGTGCTGGGCTGTTTCAGGTGCATCTGCCTGGAGTGCCCTTTCCCTCTGGCATACCTGGGGAAGCATGATTCATCTTTCAAAATTCAAGTCTCACCTCTTCCATGTAGCCTTTTCAGACTCTTCCCCAAACCATCATTAAAATTGACAACACACTCTTCTGGGCTGCAGACACTTCTACTGGAGCATCTGTAACTTTCAGCACACTCTTGTTTGAAACAGGTCTGTACTCAACCCCTAGAATGTAACTACCTTCAGGTAGGGACCTTGGCATTCATGCCTGTCTGTAGCCCCTCCTTAGCTCAGGCATGGAACGTGCACGGCACGCATGTGTGGAGGAGTGGGTGGACGGGGAACTTAGCAGCATAGATCGCCTGAGCAATCTGAGCACCAGGATTGGGTCCTTCTCCTATCTGTGTGAGAGCCAGCCCACAGCAGGTGCTCAGCCAATTTGGGTTGAGGGTGGGGATGGTAAGACGGCACGTAACTTCAAGGAGAGCTCAGGTTTAGCAGTAGATGGCTCTGAGGGACAGTTGACCTCCAAGAGGAACATGAGGGAAAGCTTCCTGGAAGAGGTAGTATCTGTTCTGGGCCTTGGCAGCCAAGATTTGGCCTCATGAAGGGGATGAGGAGAAAATGCATTCCACAGTGAGGGAAGGTCCTGAGCAAAGACCCGGAGGGAGCAAAGACTAAAGCGTGAGTACATGAAGGCTGAAGATGCGAAGGGCCTGGGATGCTCCTCTGTGGTCATTCTGTAACTGAGGAGTTCTGAGCCGAAAGGTGACAGGAGTAAACCAGTGCTTAGGGCAGGTCACCCTGGGGATGGAGGGGACCAACGGGAAAGGTGAGGACCAAGTAGGAAACCAGCTGCAGTATCAGATGGGAGATGAGGCCTGAACTAGAGTGGTGGAGGTGGAGGGGAATGAGAGGAAGGAAGGGGATAGTTGGGGAGTGGACTGTATGACTGGGGGCTCTGTGGGGCCTCTCACTGAGGCGGGAGACACCAGAGAGGGAACAGGCTCCCGTGGGGAGATGGTGAGTTGAGGTGGAAACATATCGAGTTTGGGGTATCCAAAGGCCTTCCACTGGGGGGAGCTGTTGAGTCAGATATTACACTTAAGGACGGTGAGGCAGAGGCTTTGGAGACTAGAGACTAGAGACTGTGTGTGCTCTCTGGGTCAGCTTGGGTGGAGGGAGAGGGTCCTGGGGGACATTTCTGCTCAGGTGCTGGAGGCCCAGCAGATACCCAGTGTAGATGAGGGCAGCAAGGGCGGTGGGAAGGAGTCTCATCACTCTTTCCCTGCTCTCACCCTAAATACCCTCATACCACCAGACCTGAGACTGGAAAGACTGCTCCTGAGAAGCAGCCCCAGAGGGAGTTCCCAATAATCATTTCACTCAATTCAGGTAACTACAGAATATCAGAACATTTTTTCAGAAATTTTTTTTTTCAGCAGAGGTTTTATGAACTAACAGCTCTTCCCCTTTGGTGTAAGAGCCTCCTGGCTGTCACCAGGAACAGCATGAGCCACTGAGTCTCTGTGCTGATCTCTCACTGCCCTCCTGACAAAAGTGGTCTGCAGTCTGTGTATAAAAGTACAAAAGGTATAAAAGCTGCTGCAAAGAGTGCAGCACAGTTGAAATCACACAGGGATGCTGGGACCACCTCCTGGACGTGTGTCCCACAGCTCTGCTTTGCTCCTGCAAGCACCTATGTCAAGTTGTCCCACCAGCCCCGATCAGGCTCTGCAGATGGCTGTGCACTAGCTCTCTGCTGAAGCAAAGACTGAGGGCCCCCGCACGTGCCTCTAGTGTTCTCAGCCATGAAGAGTCATCTCCAGTCATCAGAGTCAGGAGCAGCCAGGCGAGAGTCATTCAGCAGCTTGTCCTGGCTCAGCATAGTCTGCAAGTACACAGCCGAAGGGGCAGATTAACAGGGTCTGGGTCAAGGCTGCCCTGCAGCAGCCATGTGGAAAGCAGAGGGGCACTGGATATGGTCTACATCTGACACCAGTGTCCTGTATGTTTATGGTGTCTCAGAGACTCTCAGTATAAGGTCAGAATAGACAATACTATTAAGATAAAAATAAAATGCTCATCTTAGAGGTAAAGTTGGTCTTTCAAGGCCACCAAAGGCCTATTAGAAATCATAAGGGTAAGGTTGGATGGATTCATTTGAGTGTGTGAGCCAAGAAAAGATGAATAAAAGTAATCCTGCTTGGATCAGGGAGACTCTCCTGTCTTGTTCTTGGATGCAGTCTTCTAAATGTGCCTCAGTAGATCAGCAAGCAAAGTACACTGTGGATAGACACTACAGCCAATGAGCTCAGTGGTGGGATATCCAGGAACTAAAGAGTCCTGGGAATTATGGGGTGCAAAAACAAATCTGTGGTTTGTGGCTGGTCTTTTACTACCAGCTCAAGTCTGCCTATAATCCTTGCAAGGAGGATATTAACAGCCCTGCTTTATAGATAACTAAGCCAGGCTCTGAGAGAGAATGACACATTCAAAGTCCCAGAGCCAGTAAAAGACTTGAACCAGGTCTTCCTCACTCCAAAGCTATTCCTCATCCCCTGAGACCAAGTTGCCTCCCCATGGTATGACTGTCCTCTTTGGGCATGCCTTTTATATCTACAAAGTCAGAGGCATGATAGAAAATGCAAGTCTCGTGGGCTGAGATTGCAGAACAGTGTCCGCCAGGCCAGAGATGAGGCCTGGGCTTTGGACTGACTAGACAGGTAACCCAGAGCAGCTTGGTTCCCTCACCAGCTCAGAGACTGGGAAGAGGACCTGAGACCTAGCATGCTCTACCTGGCTTTAGCTAAAAGTTCATGAGCTTGCCTGATGCACTTAATGGCAAGGCCCAGCAACAGACCAACAGAGAAGGCCCCCGCTGGGCTGCCTTCTGCCTTAGGGATGGCCCAGCACCTGGCACTGTCCTTTGCTCTCCCCCAGGCCTGGTGCACCCACACCAAACTCACTGGGCCTCCCTGGTACCAGTCCCTGGGCTGCCTTCTGCCTTAGGGATGGCCCAGCACCTGGCACTGTCTTTTGCTCTCCCCCAGGCCTGGTGCACCCACACCAAACTCACTGGGCCTCCCTGGTACCAGTCCTACTGTGGGGAGGGGGTCAGAGTCCTACCGTAAGGCGGTGGATGTCTTGGGAGAGGAGTCCTATCTGCGTCACAGTGCCTTCCGAAGGTGCCATCTGTAAAATGGGCAGCAGTTGGGTCAGCACACATGGATGTGGCTTGTGATTGGCAAAGATGGCATGCAAGCCCTGTTCTGCTCAGGCCTGGCTTCTCCAGCGCATGCTTTCCTGGAGGGATGGGAAAGGAGTGGGCCAGGCCCTGAGGAGAGACAGATGGGTGGAACACATGCTGCGTCTGTCCTGGGGAAAGCACCCAGGGTCCCACACTGCAGACACCAGCATTCAGGGTACACAGAGGCAGGGCCTGTCAGAAGCAGCCCTCTGCACGTGTTCAGTGTTCCAGCTCTCTTTAGGAGAAGACAGCAGCATAGATGAAGGCCTTCAGGATGCCAAGTGAACTGACAATTCTCAGGCATCAACAGAACCACAGCCACTAATACCCTGGAATAGATGGGCATCCCCAGGAAGCTGCTGATGGAGCCTCCTCACTACCCAGGAGCCTCCCTCCCATACCTTCCTCCCCAGGTAGTGCTCCTTTTCCCCTAAACCTACTTAGATGCTATAGATTAGTAAAGCATCAAGTGTTTTACTGGTGGGATAACTGAGGCCCACAAAGGGAACAGGACTTGCTTGAGGTTACACAAGACAATTAGTGGCAAAACAATTCCATGCAGGGTTTGAAAACAGGCACATGCAGAGATTCTCTCAACAGGACATAAGAAATAAGAGACAAAGTCTGCCCTGGCTGGCTGTACAATCGCAAAAGCCAGGTATCAGCCTGAACGAGCTGCTGCCATTCAGGGACCCTGGGCACCAGGATCAAACACCGGTGCTGCCAGCTGGAGAGCTTGCGCCCACATCTCTCACCAGCTGGGCTTTAGGGGAGGCAGTGGCCTGAGGAAACAGGCTGTGCCTGAGGCTGCTGGTAGTTTAAGAAGCAAATCTTAACATCACCTCCATCTGGGACAGAATCAGAGAGCCACAATGGGGTCATGAGGCCCTGCCCGGCCAGCAGACAGTTATGACTCTGCTGTTATTCTTCTGTAGATGAGGCCCGGGGATGCAGTAGAGCCAATAGTTGCCCTGGGGTGCACTGAGCAGGAGCCCAGACTGGCGAGACATGTCTCTCCCTCAGTCCCTGGCCAGACAAGACCCATCTGGAGGACCCATTATCAGTCACTCAGCCTGTAAATCAAGAGGACAGATCTGTTCCAGCTGCCAGCACGGCAGGCCAACCCCCACAATGGTTACGAGCCCAGCTAGGTCAGTAACAGAGATGGCAAAATCCAGGAAAGAACAGGGTCCTTCCAGCAAGACCACCCTTCTTGTTTCCCCACCACCCCCTTCACTAGGTGGCTTGTGCTGCTGAAACGGAAACCAACCTTGGGGTCTGCACAACAGATGTGACACATAGCCAGAACGTGCATGAGACACGAAGCTCCCCTCTGCTTCACAGTGGGGCAGAGCCGGAGGCAGCAGGCCCACAGACCTCCTCTGAAGGGTACGGGGTGGGGTGGGGGGGTCCTCCTTGTTCCATCCCCGCTGGTGAATCCTGAGTGTGCACCCGGCCAAGGGCTGGGCTCAGTGCCACTGGCTCTCACACTGTGCAATCTGTAGGACACCATCTCCAGCTACTCCCAGCTTTCTTTCCCCAACAAGCATAAAGATATGTTGAACTGTTTGCTTTCTACATAAATATTTTATTTATTTACCAGAAAGAAGCAGCCACCTCTGTCGTGAGGCACAACATAATTACACTGTCACTGTGGCAAAAATCCCTGCTGCTCATCCCTTTGATCTCAGCCAACACTGTGGCCCACAGGCCTAAGGCACTTGAGCTGTTCCCTCCACTGAAGCACATGGGAGGTTCCTGACAGCTGAGCCCCTCGGGATTGTCCCGGTCTCTGGACCTGTGTCCAAGTTCACGAGAGTCCACTGGTGCTGAAGATGGACATTAAGAATTACTAAAACTGTAAAAGCGTCTTTCCTCCTGAGTCCACCTTTGGCAACAGTCCCCAAAGCCTGGTGCTTTAGCAGAGATGCAACTCCAAATCCATCCTCAGGGCTCCAAGAGAGACTGGCCCAGGGGTACACAATTGCTGGAATGTTCTCTGCGAGTCATGCACATGTGCAGAGGGTGAGGTGCAGTTATAAGGTGACACACACGGTATTACTGTGAGCTCTCATGGTGCACAGAGGGGGCAGGTGACAAGGGCATCAGCTAATCTGTCCCACCTGGTCCAGCCCATCCAGTTCAGGGGCACCAAGGGGGCTGAGGCCCCGGTAGCCACCGTAGACCCTCTGACTGTCATCAACACCATCACTGGGCTCCATTGGGCAAATGTAGTCCGTCGACTCATCAAACTTCTTTTTTCTTATGTTTCCAAAATGTGAAAATCCTAGTTTTCTTGGCTAAAACACAGCAAATACAAGATTATGAGAAGGAGATTATCAAGACAGTGTGCAGATACAACTGACAACATATTTAAGAAGAGTCCTGTGAGGAAAGAAATAAGGTAAACTACTTCTAGAAAAACTCTCTGAACAAAACAGAGCTTCTGTGAGCAATATCTATGCTGGGGAAAAGCCAACAGAAATAATCTTAACAAGAAGAGCTGTTCCTTCGAGGCTGTGCCTGAGATGCATGCCCGCTGCCCCACTGGTGACTTTCTTATTTCCCCAGCTGGACTGTGAGTTCCTACAGAATGCCGCAGCCTGTACTCAAGGCTGAGCACAGAGGATGTGCCTCCCCACAGCTGCTGGCACCACACAGGGGAGCATGTCCTTCCCCTCTCCACTCAGCACCCTCAAAAGCCACACTGGACAGCCTAGGTTGGCCTCCCTTCTTGCCCTAGCTTCACCCAATACTGTTTCTGCCTGACTCCCCCAGACACACTTAGGATCCTGCTCCCTCAGGGAAGGAGGTCCGTGTGAGTTGCAGCTGGACCTGAGGCATCAACATGCTTCTGGGGACAGGGCCAGCCTGGCCTCCGGAGATTGTTTGTGTGCTGGCAGTCTGGGAAGGATGTGGTCTGAGGACAGTGCGGCTCAGGCAAGTCTAACAGGCTTTGTGGGATTCCCAGCAAGTGGGGCTGGTGCTCTGGACAGCTGCAAGCTGGCCACCTCACAGAGACAAATGGGACCGGCTGCCAACAGGAGCACTCCCTGTGCCGGTAGGACAGCTTTGACCAAGACCCCATAGATGGGCTTGACTGAAAGGAACTCAGACTTGAAACCCGTCTGCTTGGCAAGATGAGTCTCGGCAGCACTGGGGTGAAGGGCAAGCTCCTAGCCACCTGAGACTTGGTGCTTCCTGTACATAGTTTCTGGGTAAAGGAACCTGAACTCTTAGACTCAGACTGGCAGAGAACTGGCCTAAGGAAGACCAAGAGAAAACAGGACCGTAGCAGAGGCTGCAAGAGCCTCCTCATCAGGCTGCACATGCTGTTTTGGCTCCAGGCATTGAGCCAGAGGCTGTGCAACATGAGGGTCAGAGGGCAGGCCCCTGTGGCCCACGCAGAGAGGGTCTGGCAACTCACCCGGACTTTGGCTGTGGTGGTCAGTGGTGTGTAAGCCGGTGAGGCCATTTTCTCTCGCTTTTCCTGTTCAGCCTCAGGACCAATCAGGGCATTGAATTTGGTGGTCAGGTGGCGTCTGAGGAGCGTCTTTTGTGGTGGGATATTGAGAAGCATAGCCAGGGTGTCCCCAGTGAAGCGTGGCTCCAGGATCTAAGAAGGAACCACAGACAAACCTAGCCAGGGGTGACCACAGATGGCTGCAGGTGGGTGATGCTGAGAAATTGGCCCAATGGGCCTGGGGTGCCTCCAGAGCAGGGGCTGAGGCTCACCCACTTGCTCTGTCCCACCCCCCTTTCTGTTCCTGGCACAAGGCCTGGCTCTGAGCAGACACTAGCACATTTGTTGACTGGCCACTTCATTTTCACAGACCAGCAGAGAACTGGGACCTCTCCACTAAGGCTGCTTCCCAGAGCATCCTCTGGACAACGTCCAAGCCACCCTTTCCTCATTTGCCTTTTGTTTTTGCCACTTGACAGATCTGAATGGAGATTAGGACCACATCACGGCAAGCAGGAAGTTACATTTTGACATCCTCCCCCTCCCATCCCTAGCCCCCATGTCCTTCTAGGAACAGGTGGAGTTGCCTTGTTAAGGGTTGGTCCTCATGTAACCCCAGTGTCCTGGAATCCTCTGGGTCTGTTACTAGGGGTACCCTACCAGAGCCATCTTGTTTCCATAACGTATGTTAATTCTCAAACACAAATTATCAAAATACTTTGAAACTTCACATTATGCAAGGGTTTTGGCTGAACTTTCTATTTTCTCACTAGAATTTATGTCTGGCCCTTAAGAAATCAGTTTCTGAATACCCCAATTTGCACCAAGCCAGGTGGGCTAGTCCAAGGAGCCACTCACAATGAGACCTCCATGGACGCCACTCCCTCGAAGGTTGGGTGCGTACTCCGCCAGGTCCACAGATCGCAACCACTCCATCACCCTGTGGTTGGACCACTGCACAACTTCTGAAGGAGAAAGGTTACTCTGTGAGAGGGAGGAGAGAGAATAAGTTAGGCTTAATAGGCCCCACCATGGTCCTCGGCAGACTCAGCCCCTGTGAATCACCCCAGGTGCCTCATCAGGAGAGAAGACCCTCAAGCCGGGAGACCCAGACTAGCCAGACCATCTGCCTGAGAGCCTTCCAAGTTTCCAAAAAATAGAGCTCTAAGTTTTACAGGATTTTCCACACTGAGATATCTGGATCCAGAATCCCGTTAACTCCCTAATTTTCTGATTAACTTCAGGACAAATAAGTGAAGGCATATAGTTATTTATTCAGTGATTCAACAGATCATTAAAGATATTAGGAGTCAAGTGTTTTATAGACAAAAGGTCTCCCTGGTGTGGCCAAACTTTTTAGGGGAGCACACATTAAGATACTTACACCTAAGTGCCCACACGTGGCATCCTGGTCTTCAAAATGCCCAGCACTATGTCTGATGTATAGAAGGCATTCAAAACATATTTGTTGAATGGGGAGAAAGTAGGAGACTGAAGGCAGCAGTAAGAATTTTTAACCCCTGAGTTAATCTTACAACAGGGTTAGACTCAGTTCTCAGGAACAGAGGACATAGGATGTGACTGACAACTCTTCAGCTTTGGGGCCCACCAAGAACTCCGAGATTCAGGGAACACAATCAGGTACTTCACCAGGACTTGGGGTTTTGTTATTTACCCACATGATTTCTTCTCTAGCAAGATCTGTTCATGGATCCCCTGTATACCTGGTCTTGCAAATCGGTTAATGTTGAATCTACAAGTAGGGAAACCCATTCTGCAATGTCCGGTACCTTATGGGCCCCTCTTCCCGCCTCCTCCTCTGGCTCTTCTCCTCTCCTCTGTCAGTGTTGACACCCACCTTTCCATTTTGTCTTTCCCTTCCCCTCTCCTTCACACCCTCTCCTCATCTCCTTTAATCCTTATGATGCCTTTGAAAGACTTGTTGACACTGCCCTCTGGCCCACAGTGTGTCTCCTCCCCAAGGGAGGGTGGGAGCTCAGAGGTCTGGGGGCTGCCGTGGGACACAAAGTACAGGCAATCGGGGTATCTGGAGCACCATGAAGCACTAATAAAGTTAAAGAGTCCCAAGCACCGTGACCTGAAGTGCAGCCATTTTGTGATGATGTCATCCTTGTCTTCCCACACCCAGGGTTTCAGGTGTCCTGGCTCAGGGCGAGCCGGAGAGGCACTGTCCTGCCCTCACCTCATCAGCTGGCCGCCGATGCAGGCAGTGGGGGTTGAACTTGTTGACATGCAGCACATGAATGGCGCACTTGATACTGAGATGATGTAGTTGGCTGGTGACTTTTAAGAAGAGTAGATCATTCTGGAAGAGGAAAGTCTTGGTTGATTAATCAGTTCCCAAAGCAACAAAAGACCCCTGAGGTCCCTTCCCAGAGCAAACATAGATAAGTCTACCACATCTCAGGAGGGTGCACATGGATACACCAACAGTTTCTCTTACCATTATGGTTTGGACTCTGCTACATGGGACCTCTTATGTGACAGACAGTACTATTTTAAGGCCTTAAGAACATGAGGGAGGAGGTGGAGTCAAGTTTAAAAAACCACCATGGGTACATGTGAGCTGAGTGTTCACAGGAAGAACTGAAATATTTAAAGGAAAAATCTTCACCACAGTCAGGTATTGCAGCATTCGTCCATCAACTCTGGATTCATGAAACTGGTCTTTGTATTGGGGTAAGCCAATATCATCCAGCCACCCTACAAATACAGAAAAAAACAGATGTGTCAGGATTCATGAGAATAGGAGAATGTGGATGCCAAAAAATAAGAAATGCAACAAATTATCTTTTTTTTTTTTTGGTCCTTTTTGAGACTGGCCGCACCGCACTCAGCCAGTGAGCACTGTGAGCGCACCGGTCATCCCTATATAGGATCCGAACCCATGGCGGGAGCGCTGCTGCGCTCCCAGGGCCACACTCTCCCAAGTGCGCCACGGGCTCGGCCCAACAAATTATCATTTTGAGCTTCCAGGTTTATTTGCCAAATGGTTTGGTAGTCCATCTGTCTTTCACAAGGAGACAGCTGTCCTTGCAGCACAGATTCAATGGGGAGATTCTTTCCACTCTTAGGAACTGCCGGAAACATACTTAATGTATATATTGCCTGTCCTTACGTGTCACCCAGATGTGGTCTAACAGAGCAGACTTCTCCTCCTGCTTGGTGTTGATGGCTTTCACTGCTAAAACCAGCTTCTTCCTGTGAAGAGGATGCTTAATTCCTAGCTCCTGAAATTAAAGATGGAGACCAGATGTGAAATTTTGGCAGGCAATTTGGCCCTCAGGGGATGCCCTGTCTGGGTGCAGATGCCCTGACAGAGTAGCAGCGGATTTCTGCATAGTGCTTGGAGAAGTCAACCTGCAGCTACGGAAGGAAACTTGGCCTCCTTCCATCCATTCTCCTGTGTGTGTGGAGGAGTGGGGGACCCTAAACTCCCCGTGCATTTGTTTGTCAAGATATGGGAGCCTCCTTACCCCAGGCACATCCTTACCTTCTCCATGTCCTGAGGGGTAGCTGTCAGTAACGTGTGGCCAGAAGACACCCACTGCCTGGCAAAGATCACGTACTGAGCCAGGCCAAAGTCCTCCAGCCACGCACACACACGCTCTGTGCTCCACTGGGCAAAGGGGGCATTGGTGTCACTGGGAAGCAGGAAAACAGCATGTTCCTGTTAGTGGGAGAGCCTGGGGTTCTGAATATAACAGAGCCTCACAAAAAAAGGAACTATTTTTTAAAAAACAATGCCACTCATGGAATCTAGATGAACAAAATTCTACTACAACATACCCATTTGAGGTAGATTGTAGAGTTTCCTTGATAACACATGGACTGAATTTCAATCCTCCTGCTACTTAGAGCATGAGGCAGCTTACATGATCCTCCTGAGGCCATGTTTACATCCCACAGGCCCAGAGCTGTGGCCCCATTAGGATGAAGACTCACAACTGAATCATCTTTCAACAAGTTTCAGCACTATTTTTAGGAAAATGCTTAGAAAACTAGGAAAAGAGAGTCAGTTCTCTAGCATTAAAAAACACACAAACAAAAAAACCAAAACAAAAAATCCTCCAATCAACAACAGTTAATACCTTATTTATTAATGAAATACTAGGGGCATTCACATTAATGCCAATAATAAGACAATATTTTTTTTTATCAGTACTAATAACACTGGTCTGAGAGTTGTAGCCAGTGTAAGAGATAAAATAAGAAGTATAATTATTAGAAAGGTAGACATAAAAGAAATTATTGTCAGATGATAGGACTGCTTACCTAGAAAACCCAGTAGAACTCAGTAAGGTGGCTAATTATAAAATACACACATATATATACATACGTAATACAAATATTACATACAAAAATCAACTTTCTACAAATCATCAATGAATAGATACTAACACTTTTGTTAAAAACAATTAAAAATTCCCACTCATGGCAACGAAAGCTATGAAACATCTAGGAATTACCTTAACAAGGAATGTGTGGGCCCTGTGTAACTGGTAAGTGTGTGTGGGGATTGAGGTAGGGGAGAGGTGGTAACTACAACATTAAACTGATCAACATTAAACACACACACACAAATAAATGAAGAGCTAGATCATGTTCCTAGACAGAATGGGTATAATAAAGCCATCAATTCTTAAAGACAAATTTTTTATTTAAAGTGTGCTATAATGGCACACTAAATATCCCAACAGTGTCTTTGGAGGGTGGGGAAATGACAAAGCAATTTTATATTCATTTTTAAAAATAAATGGGGATTTATGGAATATAGAAAACTAGATATTTAGAAAGATTCCTTCTGGAAAAGTATCCCTAACATGCTGGATTTGAAAGATTTTTTTTTTTTTTTTAAATTTTTGGCTGAGCTATTCTTAAAGTGAAGAAAGTGTCACTCTAGAACAAATGCTAGAGCTGAAGTATACACTGGGGTAGATGCTGACCGTTCACAGCCTGGAGCCTAGGTTTCAGTGGGTCCTGAATAGGTGCAGATCCAGCTTTGATGAGGCCTAGAATTTATAAAATTTGGGTGTCCTCTTAAAGGAAAGCACAAAATTTGAATATAGAATTAGGAACATGGGCTGGCCTGTGGCTCACTCGGTAGAGTGTGGTGCTGATAACACCAAGGCCCTGGGTTCGGATCCCATATACGGATGGCCGACTGGCTCACTTGGGAGAGTGCGGTGCTGGCAACACCAAGTCAAGGGTTAAGATCCCCTTACCGGGCATCTTTTAAAAAAAAAAGAATTAGGAACAAAGTGAATTTTTATTTAGAATGAGAAAAATCACACACAAAAATATAAATTTAGCTAAACTGAAAAAAAATCACAAAACTAGAAAAATTAATATTTTTATTAATTAATCTTAGATATGCATCCTTGGCATGTTTTTACCTTCATATTTTGGGTGCATGCTCTGAGTGTTTCTTCATATGTCCACAATGCTAAAATATTTTGTACGAGAACAGAGGGTTGATTCAGTCTGTCTTCTAGCATAACTGATCAATATTTATTTACTATGACTTTTAAAAAATGTTTTGGCTTCACAGTGTGTAATTGGTATTGTCATTGGCATTTTTAGAATAATCGTTTAAATTTACGAAAACCTCTATCAAGTGTCTTTTATATGTGAATGTTAAAACCACATTCAAGGGCCGGCCAGTGGCTCACTGGGGAGAGTGTGGTGCTGATAACACCAAAGCCATGGGTTCGGACCCCTATATAGGGACGGCCAGCTCACTCACTGGCTGAGTGTGGTGCTGACAACACCAAGCCAAGGGTTGAGATCCCCTTGAATATTATGCTATCTTTGTTGATGTCAGTATATTATATAAAATCAGCAAAAATTTCATTTTTCCAATTTGTTCATATGATTCACTTTATATGAATAATAGTCTAGGAACCTATTGCCTAATTCTGTTTGAAACTTATCTCTTGCTGTTAGCAAATTACTGCTTTTGTTATGACCTGAAATTTTTTTGTTTATAATTTGCTTCTTAATGTGAGAATAATTTTTCTCAGGTTCGGTGGCCATTTTATCACTTGTGTTTCACATTCTATTAGGTTTTTATTTCATTCACTTTCTTGTATCTGGAAATTAGGAAAAAAACAAACATTCCATATATGAGAGAGACACTGCAATTCTGAAGGGGGAACTAAGGGTTTTTGGGACCCTAATTTGAAAACCTCTGACCTGTAGACCTTTTCAAAACAACCTAGAGCTGTGATCCTCATCCTCTGTATTCTTCCCATCTCCTGTTTTGTGACTTCCCTCCTCCTCCTAAGCTTTGTGTTGTTCCCCAGTATCAGACCCAGCTTCTGCATCCTCTTGGCTTCTCTCAGTGCCAAGGTCTCCCATGCCCTCCGCCAGGGCCATGGCTGAACATGCTAGGAAATAATTTAGGGATAACAGAGAAGATACCTTTCATATACAGCAAAAACACTGACACTTTCCAAAACATCTCTACAAATTGCAGTTAAAATGATCTAGGGGGATAGTACATGGCACATTTATGAGTGTACATACTTCATCAGTAAGGATATTCCTGACAGGAGAGAACTTCTGTTTTGACAAAGTATCCAAGAGAACTAAATCCTCCTTAGGACTTTGCACATCTGATGACTGGAAAGAATTTCCACAGACTAGGTGTCGTACATTTCAGATGTTGTTTCATTTCCACTACCCCATACCTCTGGTAAGAAGTTCCAGAGGACACATCCATACTGGGACATGACCTCTGTGCCTATCAACACATTGACCGGACTCCCTCTAGATCCTGGAATGGGCCCAGACTAGTAAGGGCCCTTGAAGCTTAAGCTTCCTCACATTCATAACAAACTTGATTCTGATGGCAAATGTGAGAAAAAAAGCAATAAAATGAGGCCTGAGGCAGGGAGGCAGTCTTTGTATCTGTGTTCTGGGCAAATCAGCATAGTGGGAAGTAGGAGAAATCCTTGAAGCCATCTGCACACTAGGACAGCTAGTTAACTACGCCTAACTAAACTAAACATAAATTAACTGCAAACCTCATTCACACATCTCACTATACACAAACTACATAGATTTCCAACTTAACTTCCCTTTAGCCAGTCCTGAAAAATCCCCATGGCTACTCCAATAGCATCTGTTATAAGAGAAAGCATCAGAAAAAGGAAAAGTTGGAGTAGAAAGAGTCAGCAGTCTTAAAATTGTGTTTAAAACACATCATCTATGCAAAATTTTCAAAACACTTATGCCTGTCAACACACTGATGGGATTCTCTCTAGACCCTGGAAGAGGGCCAGACAAGTAAGGGACCTTGAAGCTTAAGCTTCCTGACATTCATAACAAACCTGATCCTGATTGCAAATGTGAGAAAGGGGCAGTAAAATGAGGCCTGAGGGAGGGAAGCAGTCTGGCTAGAGACCCCTCTTGAAGCCAGAGTCCTGAAGGGCAGTATCCTCAGTAGGTAAACTCAGAACTCACCCCCTGCCCTCCCCAAAGATGAGATCTGGCACGTGACTCTAGAACCTGCCTGCCCTAAATTATACTTTCCTACCTTTTCTGTGAAATGAATAACTCATACTAAACTCATGTACTAAAATAAATCTCTAGGGGATTCCAGTCAAGATGGCGGAACAGACAGTCCCCAACATCACTCTCTCCCACAAATCAACCAATTTACAACTATAAAAAAGCAACAAC